TCCATAAAACAAAATGAAATGACAGTGCGGTACACATACCATATTTGCGGCCCGCATTAATTTTTCTGTTTTATCAAACACAATTTCATGGTTGACATGGTGGAAGAGGATTAACACCCAGTTTATATACCTTTAAAAGAAACAGACCTCTAATGCCAGAGCTCATAATCCTCACAATACTGCAGGCAGGGATGTATTCTGTCACCCAGTTTTACTCCGAGCGTACTGACCCAGTGACGGCTGCAGCAGTGACTGAAGAAGTGCAAAGGCTACAGGGAAATCAAGGCTTGTTGTAGCCCACGGCTACGACAGGGACCTGATAGTGTCAAAGGATTATGTACAGTGGGGCTAACAATACTAATGGCTCTTCTTTGGCAATAATTGCCAAGACAAAATTGCAACCCAATTTCCCTGTTTCTAATGAGTAGATTCTTCACCAGCAAGCAGGCGGAGGGAGAGAGGAGAGAGCACGGGCAGGCTATTAAACTTCAGCCATTAATGTTCTATTGTAACGCACAGATTTACAGAGGATTTGCAGGACAGAGTGTGATTGGGCTTCACTGCAATTACACACAGGGTAACCGTGTCGCAGACCTGGGAACACAGCTCTTCCATGTGAAGTCAGTCAGGTGTTCCAAATGTTCGTGTTTGTTTCAGCAATTCAAATATAGTACAACTACAAACTCCCAGATTAAACACATTTAGGAAGTGAATCAAAGTACAACTGGATGAAGAAGCAGAAAAACAACCTAACACCTGAAAGCATCTGCAGGTGTGAAAAGAGCACATTTAGGAAGTGAATCAAAGAACAACTGGATGAAGAAGCAGAAAAACAAACTGCTGCTGACAACGCTCTGTTCAGTTGTTTAATAAATGTTCGACTACAAGGTGGAAAATGGTGTCTGAATGTATTAGACCTAAAACAGCATAAACTGTTCATGAAATTCTAAAAAGAGAGTTTAAGCTGCATTATTTTTCTTATTTCAAAGACTAATGACCCATTAGAAATAATGACTACCAATCAAGGTCACCTGTATGGACTTAGTAATGAGTAATACCATTATGAACACGAGGAAGACACAGCAGGACCACAGGGTGGCGTTACAGCAGGATGATCACAGACACGGACCCTGATGGTCTTCCTGCCACCATTCAAAAACATGCAGATTTAGGTCAACTGTTCACTTTATAGACTATGTGTCAGATGGTTGTTGGTCTCGATATGTGGTCCAGGGTGTACCTCACCCCACCTGACGACTGTTGGTTACCAGCAGCAGATAAATGATGAGAGACAAATACGTTCTCTTACATCACTGCAGTGTAAACTCATAAATGTGTTTAAAAAAAAAAGTCATCTGATTTCCTTTCAATATGTGATATTCCTTAAAGGAGGAAGGTCACCAGCTTGAATGTGGATCAAGCGGGTGACCTTCCTCCTGTAAGGCTAGTGCATTAACCACTTTTACACTACGTGGCCCTTTTCTATTTTTCTACTGTTTTAAGGCTAGTGCATCAACCACTTTTACACTATGTGGCCCTTTTCTATTTTTCTACTGTTTTTCCCTGGACATGTGGGTGTGCCATGACTCATGGAAAGCATTGTTCAGAACATCTCAGCTTGGACTCTACTTTCCATGGAAGCCACTTTATAAGATGGGAATTTGGCAGGAGATCGTATCATGAGAGATGTTTAAGATAATTCACTGTGACCCTGTGGTGAAAATGATTTATTACAGCCTGTCAGTCTTAGTAGACTATGCAAGAGTCAGCCTTGTGGCTCTGTGAGTGCCAACAAACAACAGAATTATTCCCAAAACACCGGGTCATTTAATGTTTGAGGCAGAACAAAAGCAGCTATTATCACTGATCACTCATTTACAGATAAAAATAAATAAAAACAAAATGCTCCTCTGTAAAAACTTTTGATACTACAGAACGAGTGCTTATTTACTTTACTGCCCCCACTTACTTTTTCCTGTTTGTTTTTATTCCATCACGGTCAATTAATTGTTGATGTAATTGATCATTTTTTCCATTAAGTCTATTAACTTCAGGCCCGAGGCCAGACAGAACAGAAGCACCAAACAGAAATGCAATTATCAACTGCTGCTGCCAATTTAAATTAGACAATAGTGCTGTTAGTCAAACTGTGTGCTATAATGAAGAAGCAACAAATCAACAGGATCCATCGTTTCCCCCAAAGAACAAAGAATAACAAATATAAAATGCCACCGTTTGTCTTAAAAAAAACAAAAAAACTTTTCTTTGATAGTGTAAAATCTTTGAAAGAGCGTTTGGTGGTTGAAGGATAAAAAAAAAAAAAAATCACTGTCATTGACAGGTCTCATGAATCAAGAGTTGCTCTGTTTTATCTTCCATATGCTTCAACTCTCCCACAGTCTAATGCTGGTGTTTCCACCTACAGAAATAAATTAAACTCACCTTCACACACTGATCTTCTAATAAAAGACTTTTTAAAAAAGGCTACATTTATTTTCTTTTATTTATCACAAGTCATCCTCAACAATGTTTGCCAGGGTTTTATCATTTCTCCACAATTATTTTTTCAGTTTATCAATCAACTGACTTGAACACACCATCATCTGATTATTGACAATCGGCAGCACTGTAGTCACCTGAGCTGTGTGTGTGTGTGTGTGTGTGTGTACTGTTTGGGTGGAAATACAAAATACACACCTCAGAGAAAACAGATTGTGGAATAGCTGTTTTCAGACTACAGCCAGCTACAGGGCCAGAATGTGCTTCACAAGCAGCAGTGAGATAATGCAGCCAGAACACCGAAGCAAAAAAGTCAACGGTGATGGAATGAAAAACAGCAAAAACTGCTGCTCTTACAAATAGTTGATGGTAGTCATAATGGGCTATAATTCTGGTTTTCTCTTGTGAGATGTATTCTGACAGCCCCCCCCCCCCCCCCCCCCCCCACACCACCCCACACACCCCCCCCACACCACTTCACTAAGAAAATATTCCTATCTGCAGTGTTTGTGTGTGTGTGTGTTCTCAGTCATCCAGGTCGTTACAGCAAGGACGACTGAACTGCGTTGGTTTCATGTAGACGTTTCACCTCTCATCCAAGAGGCTTCTCCAGCTCTAACTGACGGCTGGGAAGAAGGTGACCGTGCCCTCGTCCAATGGCAGGGAAGTTTTGAGGTCACACGGCACATTCACCGACTGACCCTGTTGATTAAAACTTTGCTGGCAAATTCATCATCATAATCCATGAACACTTCACGTATTCTTGGCCTGATCCATGGGATGATGTGTAGACCAGCAGCAGTCTTTACTGTCAATGACTCGGAGTCAGAGTTAGGACTTTAGAATTGGACTAATGCTCTGACCATTTTTTTTCTGGTTTGAAACCTGAACAAACTGGTTGTAAATTCTGAATGAGTTGCTGTTCTAATGCTCTAAAACAAGAAACAAGAAAAGTCTCACAGTTTTCCTTGAACATGTTAAAAATTTGATTTTTGATTCACAGCAAAAATCACATCACTTGAAAATATGTTAAGACTTTGGTCATTATATATGTGCAATATATTTTCTTTTGACTTTGTTTAGCTCTTATTTATTGTGAAGATTGTGAACAACAAACACGAATATTTATTATGTTGAAAAGCGCTTCTTATAATTTGTCTTACATAAATCTGAAACTAGTAATGAAATTATGACACCTCAGGTGTGTTGGGTCATCAGTATACTTTTAAATCAATCAATGACAGTCATCAATTAAACCACAATCTTTGCAGACACAGAACTTAAAATAAGATCCTAAAATTGACAATAAATGAGAAAGTCACAGCTTAAGAAAGAAAAGTTTGTCTACAGCACAGTTCAGCGTCATTATATTTGGTGTAGAGGTGTTCTTCCTCTCTATCTCTGTTTGTTCACATACAGTTCAGTTCAGTTAGGCTCAGCAGATAGGGCTCATCCTGACTCCTGGCAGCTATCGTAGGTAATACTGATTCTGTCCACTGCCTTTGGTGGCCCTGCTTCCTCTAATGTTCTTAATGCACACGTCTTCAAAGTTTCCTGCCACTGTGTGAGATATCTGCATTGCAGTGCCAAGAGGAAAGTGGCTGCTAGAGAAGAAGAAATGTGCAAGAACATTTTCTGATAGAGAAAAAAAAATAGAGAGAAGAGATGAGAAAGGCTGACTTGTCATTTACCAAAATAAACGTGAGTGAGTGACAGGGAAACAAGGCTCGCTGCATCAGTCGGTACATTACACCCAATGGTTTTATTTATATTTACTGCCCCAAAGCAGAAACATGTCCATTTAAAAATCCCAAAAGAAAAAAAAAGAAAAAAATTAAACAACGATTTGCTCCTCAGAGTGCTGTCACAGTAAAATCACAGAAGGGGTCATCCACCCCCACCTCCCGCCGTGCTTCTGAGCCTCCATGTTATTAATGGCGTCATCATTTTTCCTCTGCTCACTCTATTTCCCTTCTGATAGTTCGGCCTGCTTCATCGTGTTCTGCCATGTTTCTGTAATTGCTCCAACAGCCTGCCTTATGCTGAGCATATAGTTTTGTGTGTGTATCTGTGTGTGCATATGCACGTTGGAGTACGTGTGTGTATGTTCATGTCGGTCTGTACGTGTGTGTGTGTGTGTGTGTTGCTCTGTCCCCCCACCAGGGCCGGCTGTGAGTTTGTGGGGCAGAACCGAGCTGCAGGCGAGCTCCACACAGAGCGAAATGACAGCCTCCAGGCCACCATTGGTTGATGACCGTGAAAACACTCGCAGTTAACGTAAAGTGAGCAACCGGCTGTCACAGTGAGGCACCGCACTTATGTGTAGCCCTGACAACAGCACAACAATCCTCTCCACAACCAGACACCGCAGTGCCGCAACAAACAACTAAGTGACAAGCCTACGCTCACGACAGCAACCACTTCAGACATCTACTATTTTCCACAGCCTTTGAGGATAAATGCTTTCTCTTTACTTAAATTTTGAAGGCCTGGAGAGAGAGAAAAAAAAAGTTGAGCGTGATTTCTAAAAGAAAAGAGGGGAATTAAGCCTGCAGTAATGAATGCCTGGACCGTCACAGTTGCCAGCCAAGGTCAGATAAAGTGAGAAGTAAATGCTTAGAGAGCTAAGGGAGCAGAGGCCAACTGTGTGGAGGAGGTGTGAAGGAGTGAGTGACCAAGCGTGAGCACCACCTCCTCTCTACCCATCATTAAATGGAGCCACTTAAAGGGGAAAAAGAAGGTTTGCTCAAAAAGTCAATACATGGCACTTCAGCAAAGCCCTGATGGTTTTATTTAGCCATCTGGAGCAGAGTTTTAGTTTCTGACGGAGAAAAATGTGGTGAATATATGTGTCTGAAGACACTTAACTGAATCCAGCACTTTTGCTCACGAGCTAAATTGCTTAATCTATCACGTTGCCGCCAGCAAACAGATTCCAAAAGATAAACGGAGAAGCAATAAATGGTGTCGTCATGTAGTCAGAGGGTCTGATTATGTAGCTGTTTTATCATCATTTTTAACCTCGCGGTGGTTAAATTACACTTCTTTTACCCCCTGCCCTCCTGCCTTTCTTCTTTTTTCTGCCTCGTCTCACACTCAACCCAAGCACACAAACACGGTTTATTATGCAGTAACGTTACCAGATCCCCTCAGGCAGCTGTGCATCTTTGTATGACTGATGAGGGTAATTTCTCCCAAACAACAGAATGATCACTTTGCTGTTGAGCACTACAGACCATCCCTCTTCTCCCTCTCTTTCCTCTTGACTGTCAACGACGAGGCTAACGAAATGAAGACATTCTTTGCCACGAACGTCTCCTGCAGCGTCTTGGATGGTCTCAGATATCTCAAGAGCGTTAATTAAAGAATCCAATTTAATGTAAAGTCCCGTCTTTCATGCACGCAACTGTTGTACTGATTCTCCGAGGATTATTTCAATTTAATCACTCCTAATGCCAGATTTTCTTCCATTTCACTTTTCACTTTGCCACTTGCAGTTAAGAGTAACGGGAGTTTCCTTATTTTTTTCTTTGATTACCACTGGGATCCAATATAATACACATGCCACAATGAATTAACTTCACAGTAGGAAGTGAGCCAGGCTAAAGTGAGTTCATTCTGTCTGTGTTTTACTGTGCACTATGGGATATACAACAGAGTAGTTAGAACTTGTCTGCCTCTCTCTCTCGGCCTCATAGGTTCAGCCTCAGTGGGCTGTCTTTACCTATTCTCCCATCTGTCACTCACGCACAAAAACAAATCCACCTGTCGGCCAGGAGGCTGGACGGAACGCCACGGTTCTACAGCTGTCTGGGCTTGACTTTGTGCGCAATGGAGCAAGTCAGCGCCCTCCACTGGTGATCCAAAGCCCATTAAGAAGGTTATTACCACACCTGTCAGCCATATCTCCTCACCTGCTGGATGTGGCAGGCTAATGAAGACAGTCACTACTAAGTCTTCAAGCCTCTGTGCTTCTCGTGGTCCCTGTGATTCTTGATCACAAAGCTTTCTAACAATCTAAAAAACATCGTCTTTTAATTAAGCCATTAATGCTACATTATGTAAAGTCAGATTGTAATAAACATCCAACAGGAAACGGCTGAGAACCACACAGTCCAATGCCACGGTGCCGACTTTCAGACGCTCGGTGAAGGATGTTTTCAATTACAACAGAGCTAATTTAATTCATCGTTTCCTAGCTGAAAATGCATTCTTAAAGGTTGACTGAGTATCCATTTCCAAAACTCAAGTTTAATCAGTCATGAACATTGAACAGTGGAACGTCCTCTAACCAAATTGACAAAGTTGCCGGGGATCTGTGTTCTAGGATTTAAAGAGACACCGTAGCCTCACCCTGTGCTGGTTTTCCAATAACAGGCTTCGTTTGTAGAGAGGAGGCTGTTCATCTGAGAGGCGAGAAGACCTGTGCCTTTAAGAGGGCCGTCTCCTCTCTCCCTCATGCTCCCTCTCAACCACACAGACACTCCTCCTGTGAGCATTTGTGAGGCAGCTTCTGTCCCTTATGTCTCTTTGTGAGGAACAGAACAGACTTTCCAGAGCATCACTGGAGACAAGACAGAGCTCAGGGGAGGAAACACCAGGTGCAGACTTCAGAGGGAGCCTGACCTCAAGATCAGGGACGCAAAGATGAGCACAAGGGAAGGAGACGCAAACCTTCTCAAGGTGGAGTACTACACATAAGAAGTGGACGCTAACAGATGGACAACACCAAGAGGTCAAGTTGAAGTTGAACGCTACATAATCGGAAGATCAAAATTAACAACACCGAACTGGACCGCTCGGAAAAAAAGGTGGAGTTTTATTTTCAGCTCTTAAGAGCGTCAGCAGAAAAAAGTTTTGTCAAAAGGATAAAGTATGCCATATGTGCTGCAGTTACTGAGTTAAAAGAACTATTTGAAATTCACAGACAATGAAATGACAGATGATACGTTAGGATAATATTTTCATTGCTATCTGTCTTCAGAGCAGTTTCTGAATATTCATTTTTCTGTGTGAAAATCTTCAATGTCCCCACGGGGCTCTTTATTCACGAGCTTGGCGTTTATCTAATTTCTCCAGTTCTTTCTGTGAGGCAGCATTAAAGAATTCATTGATAATGCTCTAATGCTCTGAGGAAGAAGTGGCTTCAATTTTTATGTGAACTAAAGAAACTTTACAGCTGCAGCTGGAGGGACAGAATGTGCTACGTATAAGAATATCATGCTCGTCCAAGTGTGCCTGGACTGACACCCCAAAGGAACACTGAGAAGAGCAACTATGTTTACAGGCTGTGGAGTGGTCACTGGCCAGAACCAGTACTTGACCAGAGACACGGCCGAAGCCCACCCAGGACTGGGGTTAGACAGACCAATCCAAATGGAGAACGGAGTAAGTCCTGGATCCTGCACAGTTTACCACGGTCAAAGTTACAGCAGTGTGGGGCAGCCCGCTGTGGTAAACGTTTCCAGCTTAATAACACCAACGCCTCAGCCAGTTCCTCCCCCAGCAATAAAACTAGGACAGGATGGTTTTAAGAAAGTGTGCCGAACTGAAGAGGACAGTCCGTCTCCCTTTCCTGGACTGACTTCTGGGGTGCTGGAGATGCGGGTGAAGGAGGGAAGTAAAATCCGCAATTTAATGGGATTCGCCATGGCACGTATGCAGGGAGAGAAATGTGTAAGTGGGGAAGGTGTTAGCAGTGGAGGGGGTGGACTGAGGCAGGTGGTCTTCAGCGGATCAGGTCGAGCAGTCACAAAGACCATCACCTGCGCTGAAATCATGAAACGAAAAGTGGGCTCCCTGCACCAGATTACCAAACTTCGCTACAAGGTGGTGACGGAGGTGTGGGAGAGCACGGAAGGGGGGCAACCTGACATGACCGTGCACAGGACCGTGCCCTCCATCAGCATCCTCCTGTCCAAAGACCCGCTGGATCCACAGGAACCAGGCTATCAACCGCCAGAGACTCTCAGTGCATTGTGGGAGGAAAGAGAGGGCGCTGAATCAGCTCCACAGACAGCATGCAAGAGACCTCTTAGACCTTCATCATACAGTGGTTACACTCAGTGTAAGAGAATGTGTTTGGGGGAGGGAGTCTCCGTTTCCTCTCCTCAGTGACTGGCTAACCCAGTGTCAAACAGAGGAGAAGATTGAATCAGAGTTCATTTGGAGCTGCCCTCTGCTCAAGCACAATGCTGAGACAATCAGAACACTCACTCAGACAGAACAGTGCTTTTTCACAAGAACTGAACACAAATTCCAGCCTCCAGAGGTCAGTGTGTCTGGGCCCTGAAAAAACTTGTGCATTTAGCATTTTAAGGATCGCTTTCTGGGCACATTTACGTCACAACAACAGCAATGATCAGCAATGATGTGTTTTTCCTGTAAAATTACAGATTTCTTACATAATTATATATATATATATACATACAAAAAAAGGATCCATGAATTACTTGAGTTCCAGGTGTCATTTAAGTATGAGATGCCAATGGATAAAATCACGTATTATTATGTGATGATGATGATGTCACAACCGCCCCTTTTTTGCCTTTTTCTAAAATTCACAACAAAGCAACAAACCGTTAACAACACACTGACAAAAGCAAGCCGTACCAGGTTTAGGGTCAGATTAATTCCCGTCAAAAGAAAATGGAAATAAATGTTTGTTTGTTTGTTTTTCCTATGCAAATCTTGTTTTGTATTCTGTCAGTTTTTGCTCACTTTTATTGAACATGAAAGGCTGAGATTGAAAAGAAAATCAAAGTGTGCTGATCTGCTGATAAAAATAACAGCGGTGAAATTTGTCAGGAGAAAAAAAAAAAACAGATTTAATGACAAAGCTGTTGATAAGACACAGCTCCTAAACCAACTCTGCCGCACATAAATGCCTGGAGCAGAAATACAAGCAAAGATTATCATTAAGATAACAACCCAACATCACACAACACTGTGGAGAGAAGGATTAAAAGTAGGCTAGACAGAGCGTCGCACACAAACACTGTCTCTGCAAAGTATGGAATTGCGGGGATGGAGTCGACTTCATGGGTACATGTCTACTGTGTGGTACATCCAGCTTCTTCCCACACTCACTGGTGCGCTTTACTCATTTACACCACTTCTGAGAAAAAATTATATTCTGAACAATGTGATCTATAAAGACACTGCTTTTTTTTCCCACTGAAATCCACATTTTAAACTACTTGACAGACGTGTATTTAAAGGCTGCAGCCTCACCGGCTGACATTTCTTAATGCACCGCTTCTCTGCATTTCCAGTTCCAGTTTAGATAACCGTATTGAAGCTGCAAAAATGAAACCTCCAAGTAATTACTGGAGCTTAACTGAAGGCTACAGGCATATGTAGCATACGGCTTAAAGTCTACGCAGAGAAAAGTGAAGTGATGGAAACCATTTTGATTTTAATTCAAGAAATTAATAAATTCTAACAATTCTTTTCGTCTTTGTCCTAAAATGTTTCGGAGATTTCTTGTTCCCAAACACTCGAGACCTTTTCCCTCTTAATGTTGTCTTCTGGGTGCTTAATAACTTAAGACAATGGGAACTTAGTTTGACGCATTAACTGCTGATCTTAATGAAAATCTGCAAACCTAGATAACTGCTCCCAGAAGTCAATTAATCAGAGCGACTGCTAACTGGAGGGACAATTCTATTAATGTACAAAGGCAGAAAAATAAAGACAATTTAACCATGTCATTTAGGTAAAAGTCCTTTTAGAGGTACACTGATTGTAACATTTCATACAGCGATCAGCCAAAACTTTATGCGTCAGCCGCAGACATTGTGATTAACCTCCCTTCTCAATCCCATTAAATGAATCAGAGCACAGCAGAGCACCCAAGGTTGAATAAGAAACGCTGCCACTGCAGTACAGCACACACATATGTGGCAAAGTGTGTGTCCTCGAGACCGCTGGAAGGTTATCACTTCAGGTCATTGTTATCACAGAGTTAACAGCTTTCACCCGAGAGCCTGCAGGACAGCCGGCGTGCGATGCAGGTCAAACAGATAAAACCTGCAATAAGTAAATTTCATATCGACCCGCGCCTGTTATCGTGCATTAAGAATTCTGGGCAAAGTGCAAAATGAAGAGAGGGTAATTAAGGACAACACTGGAGCTCACCTGAGTGCTGAATACATAAAGGACTCTGACAGGTGCATTATTACAGTGTGGACAAGTTGTTTAGAAACCATTCTGGCAGAATAAATTCTGATTTCAGACTGAAACAAACTTGTTGTTTTTCATTGCTTTTATATGAATAGATATTGCACACTAACTTTTGTTTCTTTGTCTAAGACAGATGCAAAATGAATTTTAAAAAATGCACATACTGAAGAATTTTGCTGTTCTGCAAAAAGTGTTTGTTTTCTTTAATTATGTTTTGCTAAAATTGTCCCAATGTAACTTTCCAAGTAACAAATAAATTCATGACTTTTTCATTAAAAAGTTGGAAATCTATTGAATCAATAACGGGAAAACAAACCATTGTATTAGCACCGACCAATAATCAACCTTATCTAACACTGCAGCCACAACAGTAACCTTCTGTTTACCAAAGCCAATAACTGCATACATGGACTGTGAATAAATTCATTTTGAAGTTAACATAATGAAAGTGTTGGCTCTCTTTTTTTTCCTCCCCTCTTCTCTGCTGCTGCAGCAGATGAGAGTCAGGTCTCTGGGATGGCGTGGGAGTTTGCTATCTCTCAGCCTCCAGATGGCTCCGTCTTCTCTTATCTAGAAGAATGGGTGCTGCCTCAATTTTTCAACTGGCCTTATCTGGAATCCTTTAAATTGAATATTTACTTGGGCTATGTTTTTTTGCCTATGTTAGCCTCAGTAGTCAACATTCCTCTTGCTTGTCAAGACAGGCCAAAGGGTTTTTCTCACTCATACGCTCTCATTGTCCGCCTTGTCAGGTAATGGGGCAGTGATTGATTATGTGATTTCTGGGAGAGAATAGAAGGTTAAGCAGAAAGCCGTGATGACATATTCACAAACGGCCCCAGAGGAAAAATGTCCGACAACAGCAACACACGCTTTTCCCCAAAACATGCAAACCAGACAGACCATTGTCTCGCATCACAGTAAAACAGATTTAATTCATTATTTTTCCAAACGGTCTCTTAACACTGCAAGTTAAGAGAATACTTAAGGAGCCATTAAAAGCATCTCATTGCAATGTGACCGGCTGTGGTCTATCTGCATAAACAAGCTGTGCCACTGCTACTCTCTGCTAAGTGTCTGGAAATGTCCTCGCAAAACTGTTTTGTTAAAGGCCTCCATGTTGGATTAATCAGTGCAGCTGAGGATGTAATTGCTGTGCTGAAGTCAAAGCTGTAAGAGCAGATAATGAACACAGTCTATGTGGCTGCCAGAATTAGGGTGAAAGAAATTAGAAGTTTGGAGGATGGGTTTTGCATTCTTTTCAAAGGTCTAACAGAAACAGGAAGCACATCACAGCCGCACAAAAGAATGAACGTTGTAGCTATCGCACAATCAAAAAGGTACATGGTAGTATTTCCAAATTGTACTGCATCAACATGGTTTGCATACTGCATAATTTAACACTGTAGGATTTCTGCCCCACAGGTCTAGTTTTTTGTCATAGATGTTTTTACAAATATATTTTCTAATAAAAATGTTTATAAAGGTTTTAAAACATACACATCCATCCGTTATTTTGTCAATCATATAGGTATTTCATTATTTTCATTTCAGTCAATGAGCTATAGGCTGACAAAGGAGAAATACAGCGCAATTATTCTTGCAGTTGCTGCCCTCTGGTGGTCTAACATGGCTATATAGACGGTTGCTTTTTGTCAAAATGTTTGTCATGTTACTGCCAAATTCACTGGTATGTGATTAGTTTTATTTATGTTTTATTCAAACCGTTGGACTTATAGTATGTGTGTATGTGTGTGTGTGTGTGTGTGTCCGTTCTAAAGCATACATTTTATTTATTTATAGTTTTACTAAAAAAGCCACACAGTACACTGAAAATGAGAATAATTTAAAAACAATACAATTTCACGTTTTTGTGGCTCTATTATAATTCAATTAATAAAGATGAGTCGTGTAGTTTTTACTAGATTGGACTCACCAACAGCTGTCTTCGACACGTGGTCCAGTATTTGTAGTAGTAGTAGTAGTAGTAGTAGTGGTGGTAGTAGTCGCCTTTGTGCATCATTTGTACCATGTTGCACGAACATCACGTAAACAGATGAATTGACTCCGTGTCCACGTTGTCCCCCTGGCGTAAGTTATTCCAAAACTTCTTGTCAAACAAAACGTCCCAAACGCGTGTACGTTGCGCAATTCCAAGGTGAAGCAGTTAGGGCCACGCCCACCGAACCGCACAATTAGGTCACCTGTTCTTAGGTCACAATCTTTATATTCAATTAAACCGTTGTCGAAGAAATCTACCGTATAAATGCTTGATAATACCGGTAAAAAAAATAAAGCAAATAATAAACATAAATAAGCAGAAAAAGATAATGTTAGTAAACGGTACGAGTAAGATAATAACAGAACATGTCTACTGCAGTAACTGGATTTATTGTTTAAAATAATCCCTTTGCTGTAAACATAACATAATATTTAGATAATACATATTTGAAAACAGCAGCAACACTCAATTTACTCACATAATAATCACATTAAAAACATAACATTATTTTGTACTAATAATACGTGCATTTTTTTATGTATTTATTTTTTTACAGCAACAAGCTCCCTAAATGTCATATTTCAGTCAAAGCCCAGTCTTCGACAGTACAGACTGAGATCAGTGTGTGGGCTCTTCATCATTCCTGTCACTTGCCACACTCTAAGCCAAGGTCGACAATACGACTGAATGATTTGGTTAATTTGAATTCAAACAGTGTCAGCTGGGGGTCCACTTCTCACAGTGGGATGAGTGGTGAAATAATATCAACATAGTTGTGATTACTCCATTCAAGCAGTAGGGTGCTCCAATCACTGCTGAATCACTCTGCCTATTGCAGGCTATAAGGCCAAATCTCCGTGGGTGGACAACAAAATCAGCCATCACATCTTCCAACTGAAATTAATTGAAATTCATGTGTGACACCCTGAAGCTCCCCATCAATAACAGACTTATTTACATTTGTTCACTCCAACCTTGATGCATTTGGCATAAACCTACTTTAAGGTGGTAGTTGTCAGTGGAATCCAACCACTCACATCATTACGTTTTTCAGATGTATTTTTCTTATGTTTCTCTTTAGGAAAAAAACTCTTACCTGTTTACTATATTGATTAATCTAATTTATGGATGGATATTTTTTACTGGTGGCTATTCGTTTCAATTATGTTAAATATTTTGTCATATATCTGAAGTTAAATTCTTAAATTAAAGTTAAATTAAAATATATTGGTTGGTTGGTTCCTTTTTGTTTAACTAATGTAGAGAAAAGTTATATATTTTATTCCTAAAACGACTATACGTCCCTCCTTGATGGTGCCTTCATTTGTAACACAACGTTTTTAAACTCTAGAAACAATCATCAGCTGAATTGTTCCCGGAAATCAGAATAAAAAAGAAAAATAAAAAAAACTGTCTTACGAATTATCTTTGCATTGTAACATTTGAAGTCTTTCTATATCGTGCTTATAATATAAACACAAGGGACTATCTCCATAGGTTTTATAATATCAACGTGATTAAGCTAGAATACAGTTTTCCCTGCGTGACGTAAATGCACCACAGCTAGCGGCTGCTGATATGGGGCGTTAGAAGTCAGTTGTTTACAACTCTGAACAGCGGAGTTTCCTTCACTCAACGACTGGCTTTGAGTGGTAAGAAAATTATATCTTTGAATCTTAGATATTTAGTAATAATTACAATGACATTTATAGTTTTTTATATACATATATTTTATAGTTTTTTAAGCAAGACTGAAAATGTACATTTTTGTTTAATTGTGTGTGTTTGTGTATGTGTGTGGGTGAGAGAGTGAGAGAGAGAGATAGATAGATAGATAGATAGAGAGAGAGACACTATGTCCTCTAGGAGAATTGGCAGTAGCACTTTCAGCGTCCTCCTCCCGGGGTCCACCAGGTGTTTGTTGCTTCTCTCCGGTCTGTGTCATGTTATATCTGGAGGTACTGACAGGGACAGAGTCCATGACCTGATGTCCAGATATCCCCTCATTGACGGGTAAAGGATACTCCGAAGATACATTTGCGCAAATAAATGAGTTAGTTCAAAGTAACCCAGTGCTTCTCTCTCCTCTCCTGTTCTATATCAGGCATAATGACCTGGCTCTGAAACTGAGGATCCATCACAACAATCGCTTAAGTCAAGTGGACCTTCACAAACTTAATAAAGTGACCACTGATGTCTCTCGTCTACGATCAGGACATGTGAAGGCACAGGTAAGAATATATAGCTATTATTAATCTTTAGCACTAATTAAAGGTGTACTCTTCTACTCTGGTATCCTCAGATGTTTGCAGCCTACGTGCTCTGTGGGTCTCAGCAGAAGGATGCTGTGAGGCTGACCCTGGAACAAATAGATGTGGTCAGACGCATGTGCACCGAGTACCAGGACTTTGAGCTGGTCACATCTGTCCAGGGTATTACTGTAAAGATCCATATATTTGCATGTCAGACTATACGGTTTCACACTGACAGCCACTAGAGGGCACTCTAGGCTGGTGTACCAGTGTCTGCTACTTCTGTACCACTTAAAATGTACAAGTTTGTTATTTTCACTTTAACAGCCACTAGAGGGCACTGGTTTTTCTTCATTATGCATTTTATTTTGGCTGGTGCGACTTATACTGCGGAGCAACCTATAGTCCGGAAAATACGGTATATTAGCTAAATATTATTCTAATCAAATCTCATACATGTCGGGATTTCGTTTCATAACAAATCCTAGATCCACAACTGTTGAATCCACAATACTAATCAGTCTTTGGTGATTGAGCCTCACCTAGTGTTGTTTTTCTGCTACTGCAGGACTGAGGAGCTCTATGATGAATAAGGACAAGATAGCATGTCTTCTAAGTATCGAGGGAGGACACTCCATTGACAGCAGCCTTCCTACTCTGCGGATGTTTTACCAACTTGGGGTCCGTTCCATGACCCTCACACATAACTGCAACACACCTTGGTAACTCGTTTATTTGTTAGATTCTTGTTATTAACCTAAAATATTACACTTTTTAGATTGCATCTACACTGATCAGTCTCACTGAAAATAAAAAGATCACTGTGGAAATATTTTGTACCCAACAATGTCTACAATTCATATGTTAACAGCTAATACTCCGTGTTGTCGTGTCCCTAAATTCATTTTAATACAGGGCAGAGTCATCGTCCGATCTGTACGCTGTCTTTCAAAGAAAGAATGAGAGCCTGACACACTTTGGGAAGGTGAGTTCAGGAACACATACTGTAAATTTGATTAAAGTAAAAATATCTTATCGTATCAGAAATGTCATTTAATGTGTTTTTCCACTGCCATATTACACTAGTTTGTATGACTGCACTTACAGTTAATGTATTCCAGTTATTCTTGGCTCAGTTGACTTCCTCCTCTCGTGCTCCATCGTGTGTTAATGTGTTTTTTCCAGGCTGTGGTGCAGGAGATGAACAGATTGGGAATTATCGTTGACCTCTCCCATACTTCGTGGGAAACTGCATTTTCTGTGCTGAATATTTCCAGGGCTCCTGTTATTTTTAGCCATTCATCATCTTACTCTATCTGTGAGCACACGCGCAATGTACCTGATTGGCTGCTGCGTGAACTGGTGAGAACACACACATGGATACATCTACTTATAGGATGAAAAAAAACACACAACCGTCAGATGGTTGTTTTTCTCCCAGCATCTCATTGATTTGAATCAGTGCTGTTCAGTGAACCTGTACGGTTATTTAGTAACTTTGTGGATGAGACTAAAGATCCAGTACTGTAACTATAACTGTTGACGTATAGAATCAGGCTTCAGTGGATTATTTATATTTTTCAGGCCAACTGGAAAATAAATGACCAAAACCAGTGTATTAACTTGGGATGCTAGACTTACAGGCTACCAGGTCATTAATCAGGTTAAAAATGTAATCATTAGAGAGATTTCTATTCAATTGCATATAATGTTTAATTGTTGTTGTTTAGATACTAATAATATAAACATTATTACCAGATAGAAAATGCTAATAACATACCAAACTAGTTGTTTCTGAAATAGTTTTATCTCTGTACTAATGTATTTATATATATATTTATACAAACAGCTATTTTTACTGCTTTTAAAACTTTTTTTTAAAATTAATGAATAATTAATGTGTCATGTGTTTCAGAAAAAGAATCAGGGGATAATCATGGTGAATTTTTACAGTAAATTCATTTCCTGCCAGAAAGAAGCGAACGTCTCTCATGTAGCCGGTGAGATTACTATTTAAACATTCTTCTATATATATATAATATATATGACTAAATTTAATTTTTAATTTATTTTCAAGTCAACACATTCATGTTGTTATTCCAGATACATTTTATAAATATGTGAAACATATAGGCAGTAACTCAGTAAATTAGCTTAATTGTCACATTAATGATTCGTTTTTTTTTCCAGATCATTTCGATCACATTAGGGAGCTGATTGGTGCAGAGTCAATTGGAATCGGAGGTGACTACGAAGGAGCTCAGACGTAAGACCGGTTCACCAGTGAAGTCTGTGGTTCGAGCATTTACATGTTCCAACTAATAAACTATGCATTCATATTTTTGTAGGAGAGAGGAGGTTACAAATCTATTAAATCTTGATGTTTTTTTGTTTCACTGACGTAAACATGCTACAACCTCAAAAGAACTTCTGTGAAACTGAGCAGTAGTGTTTCATTTTTAGGGACGGTTAAACCAAGGGTTATGGTCTTGCTGCTAACACAACAATTTCCCAAATATGGGATCAATATAGTACAAATTAATTTTTTATTTTTATAATTGAAAACAAAATGTGCAACAGACCAAAACAGAACAAGTTTTCTCTTTGTCATATTAACAATTGGTGTTTTCAGTTATCATGAGCTACAGACTATGACTAGGTTTAATTTACAATGAATTACAATATGGTTCAAAATATCATGTTACATTTATAATTTTGTGTCAATTGAAAGAAAAAAACGTTTCGGTGTGTGTGTGTGTGTGAACAGCTTCCCTCACGGGTTGGAGGATGTGTCCAAGTATCCCGCTCTAATCCAAGAATTGCTATGGAGGAACTGGACTGAGGACGAATTGGCTGATGTTCTTCAAAGAAATTTCATTCGAGTGTTTGAGGAGGTGGAACGGGTGGGTTAAAAAATATTTCACATTAAAACTCTTCTGCCAGAACAAAACAGCTGCCAAATAAAAACACGAGTAATTATGGATTAAATGACCTGGAGGACTGAGAACCTACACAGACAAAAGTAATTCTAGTTTCAATAAAAACTGAAAAATAAGAGGTTAGTGAAAGATATTACTAAATTCAGCATGTATAGCCATGTACCTGGTACACATCAGTATCCTCCATTTAAAACAGATGTTACTGTGCAGTGAGTTTCTATCGCAAACCTGACACAAATCTACATACATTTACAATTTGTGTGTTTTGTAATCGAACGGTGCCTCACTATTTTGTTCGTCTGTTTCTGCAGGTCAGTAAAGAGTTAGGTCATACTCAAACTAGTGAGGTTGAGATCCCCCTAAAGGAGGTCCAGAACCCCTGCAGGCTGGTCCTTGAACCTCCAAAGCAGAGAGAAGTGACCACTCTCAAGAATCCATTCTCCAGAGCTCAGTCGAGAAAACCAGTTCTGCTGATCCTGGCTGTAGCTCTGCTGGTTTCGACTTAAGTCATGAATTATTGAATACTCCTAAATGTAATTGTGTTGCACTGTCAGGTTTATTTATGTGAACACTAGGAGAGAGAGAGAGTGAGACTGAGAGTGAGAGAGAGCTTGGTGGTAGGTAATAGTTAGTAGCCAAGATCTGGACACTTGCACTTTGACCACTTTGATCGCCTTAAAATAAATTAGCTGTAAGGCTAACCTGAAGAATCAAGAATTCTTTGAGCAGAACCATTAATATTTTTTTTAGTCCCAAATTACTTGCACTCAGCTGCCTTCTCATCATTTGATGAAACCAATTTCAACATACTTAACTTGACAAAATCAATGTGATTTTTTTAAAATCCCTGCATAAACTGAATAAATACAATGTTATGTCAAACCATGGATAATTTCAGCTTTGTATGTTTTATTACTAAAAGCTTTGTCAGAGCTTACATTTTTGTATTCCTAAAATACTGCATTCAAATTGTCCTTACAAAAAAACAAACAAACACTTGATTAGAAAACACTGGTAAAAGCGCCAACAGATTTGAATTAGGAGTCATCAGGAACTTCTTAGTCGATCGACACGTCATCCTAAACCACACTATCCTGAATAAGAGTATTATAAAAGAGAAGCTACTTGAAATTAGCACAAGAACAGTAAACTCTGTCACAAACAGACTGAGTTATGCACAGGCATTTACAAAATGTATATGACTTAAATGATATTTTTCAAAAAGAAAAAAAAAATCTAAAAAACCCAAATAAATTTGATTTCATGAAAATCGTATTTTAATCCTTAAAGTTATATTAACACTGTACATTTTGACATGTGAGTAAAAAGTCAAAGTACAAATAAAACAACTAACATGTCAATGTCAAAGAAGAAAAGAAAAACAATAATTTTCTCCGGTATAGCTAAGATTTAGGACTAGAAAACCAGATAACCAACTGCTGAAAGCCTTTAGTCCACCTCACTGTATGTAAACATTCAACATCACAGAAATCTCCTTGATCATGTGTTAATACCTGTGGATGCATCGACCTTAAAGTTGTGATACTTTGAATATCCTTAAAAAGTATACATTGAATGATTTGTAATTTAATGTGATGTCCTGTGAGAATCAACAAAACTTTATATTATTTTTACCATCTGTTGTATGTGACCAGGACAGTCTTTAGTTTAAATGTTTACCAGTGTAATAGACACAGTAGGGGGCAGTGATGCAACTAACAGGATTCAGTTTTACCATTAAGACCCAAAGAAGTAGTTCAGCTGAGGAGCGACCTTAAACTTACTTACTATAGTGATACTACATTTCGCTAACATCCTTTATGCTAGTGCACTGGCAAAAAACTGCTGACAGACCAATATGCTAATAACAGGCTAGATCCCAATTTCCAGAAGATTTAATTTGTAAAAGAAAAAAACGAATTCCTTTTCAACAACTGGGTCTGGGGTCTGTGAGTTGGAATAAAATGTATGTCCAGATCTGGATGCTATGCTATATAAAAGTGAGTTTGTGATGAGTGTGTATCAATGCAAACAGTACAGAAAACACAAACCAGTTGTTCGGTGTGCGTATTACCTTTTTTATCCTAAAGTGGGAAAACTATTGCCAAAATAAATAAATAAATAGAAACTCACCTCTGACACAAAAACGTTGCTCTTAAAATAATAAAATAAAAATACCATTAAAACTAAACAAGGATGTCCGTCGTTCTACCCAGGATTCTGTTGCCAAAATGTGTCAAATAGTCATCTGGCGGTTTATTCTTTCTGTACGTACAAAAACCTATAAGAGGATAGTGATCTAAAATTTACAAAACGTTTACCATTTTATCACAAATACTGATCTGAATAATTAAAAACGTCATTATTCTGCAAACAGATCTGAATCTGCGGACATACAGATATGTTCACGTATGTTTCCCAATACAAAAATAGATTTAAATTTGACTGCTCTTAAAGCCCATACTTTGGAAACATTGTTAAATCTAACAAAGCAAATGCTTCTCTCTGTGCAGAAGTTGAACATTTGTTCATATAGGTTAAGCCAACACTTAATTGGTCATGAGTAAATGGTGATGACCTCCCGACCTCCACCTCTCACCAGCAGCACTCGTTCCAATCCTTCAGTCAGAACCTCCAAAAACTCCATATCTGAGTATGTTACTAAAGAAAAGCAAAGCTGTGGTTCACGGTGTTC